AAAAAGGAACCTGCAGATGCTTTCCTAGATAAATAAGAGATTTGTAGAAAAGAGCTTCACTGAAGTTGTATGATGTTTACTTTGTCCAGCCAGCCTTTTTTCGTCACACTGTTTACCAGCTAATCACCCTGGCCTGCAGCTATTTTACAAATCAAGATACCACAGAAAGAAAAGCAACACGTAATAGAGTGACAAGTCTGGTCCATTTATTAGTTCATGTTGTACAAAACTGTGATATTTTGACCTACTCCTAACATCATGATCTACAGTATGTTATTACATGTTAATAATGGGAACTGCATAACTGTTTTATACAGAGAGGCTGGATAATCTGGTAATAAAAAGTCTAAATATAGTGCGCATGCGCCAACGAGCATGCAGCCTGTTACGGTTGCTCCGTCATTCGTCATCTTCTTTTCTAACTTTAACTTTCTTTTTACGTAATTTAAACTAGACTCTCTCTAATCAGGCAAGCTGAGAGAGTTTTGGTAAGCCAATATAAAATAAAAATATAATGCCTTTTACCTCAAACATACTTATTTGAAAGCTTTTATGGCCCAGGCTTAATAATGAGAAACATTATTTGGCTGTCTAACCAAGTCACTAAGGGTTAACTTATTTTTCTCATCATCTTTGATGGACTTGTAAGTTAGCAAATGGGTGAACTGTAGGATGCAGTGAGCTGGCCAATCAGCTGCCAGCTATGCTCCGTTACAGTTACGCCTCTAGTTTCGCATCTCTGCACAAGATAATTTCAACCCGAATTTGCCTTTCTAAGGCATGTAAGCACCTTCATCAGCCTTGTTTCATGCTCCTCTAGGGTCTTTGAGAACACAATCAAGTCATCAATAAAGACTAGCACGTCCTTTAATTGCATGTCCCCCATACACCATCCATTAGTCTTTGAAATGTACTCGGACACACAAAAGCGTTTTTTGGTTTATCTGCTTCCTCAACCTCAATTTGGTAATAACCAGACTTAAATCAAGGACGGAGAACCACTGGGAACCGCTGAGAATGTGTCTTCCAGCTTTGGAAGAGAGTATGCATCCTTTATGGTCTGGAGATTCAGACGCCTGTAGTCTATGCACAACCGGACCTGGCCATTCTTTTTTCTTACTCTCTGATGACTCCTGCATCAACAAGCTCTTGAATATGTTTTCAAACAGCTTCAATGTCTTGTGGGTGTATTGGTTGAGCACGCTGTTTAAAAGGAGTTTATCTGTTTGGCCAAAATCCAGGTCATGTTGCGCAAACACGTCGGGCATGTTGTTGAGCTGCTGAGTGATGCATTCTTTCCATTCAGATGGAATTGGGGACTCACCAAAATTGAAGTTTAGGTTGTGCTTTTTGTTTGACTGGGGGGCTCTGATTGGTTTACTACACTGTACTCCTGTAACAAGATGCTCTGGTAAACACTTATCTCTGCAATCGCACATTTAGCAGGAATGACTATATCATGGTCAGACTCATTACTGATGACAAGTGGAAGCTTATAGGGCCGCAGCTGGGGAACGTCAACTAAGCTAGCAGTCACCAAAAAGCCACCCAGCAAGGGACTGTGATGTGGCCTGAATGTCAGGAACAACCAAAGCGAGTGTATGCACATCCATTGATGCTGCAATAAATTCTTTTGGAAAAGTTACATTTCTATGTAACCTAAATAGGGTACGGACTGTCCATTCGCTCCCTCCACCTCCAAGAGATCATGTAGTGGCTTAATCTCCTGCTCTGAAAAGTGCTGTTCATAAAATGACCGGGGAACTGTTGTTACTTACCCGCATCAAGTAGGCAGTTAACTTCTTCACCTTTTATGTTGACTTTAGCTGTACTCTTGGTGCCAACCAGCCCCTTAGGAAGTTTAAAAGGGTGACTCTTACTTGAATGTTTTAGACTAGCTCATACTCCAGTCTTGCCTTTGCTGTTTACGTCTAAGGGACGTTGTTGACTCCCTTCAGCCCCTGTTTGTCCCACAGCAGGAACAGTTAGTCGTTTAAAGGTAAGTTGAGACTGGTTTGTGTTTCCCACCTGTGCTGCTTCTCCTCTAACTGTTTTCTCTTTTCAGCTACTAAAGCAGGGTTTGCCCTGTCTGTGCAAAATGGGGCACTGTGTTCATCCTCCCCACAGTTAAAGCAGTACCAAGGCCTGGGTCTGTTAGTCTGATTTTTCTTGGTCTGTTTTAGCATGTCTGTGTCAGCACTGTCTAGTTTTGGTACCTTGCCTATGCTTTTCCCTGCTGTTCCCCTGTTATCATCCCCCTTCGTCTTTTTCTGTGCCATAAAAGAGGTTAATTGGCTTTGCAGACTGGCAACCTGTCTCCCAAGATCCTCAATAACACTGAGACTGACCTCTGACTTCTCTTTTGATTCTACACAGGCCCAAGCACTTTGGAGCTGAAGTTGACCACGTTGCCTCGCAGTGCTAATGTGTTTTTTCATGCGACTAGCTTTTGCTAACTGTCTGTCCTCTTCTGTTCTTAGTAACAGCAAGAGGTCGGCAAATGAGGGGGGGCTACTTTTCTTCTGCTCAAGTTGCAGGCCAGAGAGCAAAGAATTGTCCCAGCATCCCCTACAGAACTGTTTGAGTAGGTGTTTATCCACTTCGTCAGGCACAACCCCACCCCTTCTCACAGCTAGGTTTAATGCTAATTGCAATCGATGAAGATATGTAGAGGGCTTCTCACCCGGATCCTGAAGGGTGTTCATAAACTGGGCAAAAAGTTCCTCCCCATCCTCAACAGTACCAAAGGCTGAGTCCAAAAGCTGCAGGTAAGCGGTGGGGGGTGATCCAGGCCGTAGCCCTTTGACCACATCGGCTGCAGGTGAAAGTACACATTCAAGAATTCTTCTTGAGATCTGGAGATGGGACAAGCTGGGATCATTTAAAAACAGTTCAATGTGTGTTCCAAGTGTCATAATCAGCTTCACTATTGGGTCTGGGAATCTTTCTAGAAAAGGAACGAAGCCTTACTGGGGTTTGCAAGTGTGGGCTACTATCTTCCCTCCGTACAATATGCTCAACCACCACCTTCTGTATTTCTGCTGGGTTTATGCCACTTACTGAAAGGGACGGAGCTTTTCCTCCATTAGTGAACAGGACTGAATCAGGGGCACTTAAACAATTGCCTTCCAGAGGAGCGTCCAAGAGTGAGACGAGGGGCTGTTGATCTTCAGGGGTACAAGGTTGACGCGTCACAACTGGGGTCTCAACATGTGAAGGGGAGATTTCTGTAAATACGGGCCTCATAGCTTCAATATCTCCAATCTGAAACATCATCTCTTTTAACACCTCCCTATAGTCTTTGCCACTTAGCTTGGCTAAGCCCTTTAACTCAGCTAGGTATGTTTTTGTAACATTACTGCCAATATGAGTAGTGTACACACTGCTTAATGCTTTTACACCATATCTAGCACATAGATCACCCTGCACTGTGTATGTGTATGGCAAAAGTGGCTCTAAGTACTCTAAAGCTGAGCTGCTCAATGATCAGGTTTTGGTAAAATTCAGATTTAGAATCATCAACGGAAAGGGCTCTTTCGATCGAACCGTACTTCTTAAGGAAGTCAACAACTTGCTCATCTTGGACTGCTACCTGGGATAACGATAACGGCATTCGGAATTTTAACACCTGACTTCTGTATGAAGTCCATTTTGCATATTCTTTCAAAACTGATATCCAATGTCTCTGGCTCCTGGCTGGCTCGCCAATTTATGTAACCCTTATCACGAGGTAGTGATAATGTACAAAAAGAATACTACACCAGAATGACAGTTTGAATTAAGTGTATTAAATACACAGGGCTGGTACATACAAAAAAAACTGTTGTGAAAAATAACAAACTAAAATAATAATAATAAAGAGCGCACATAAATAAAATCCCTTTCTTTTTAGCTTCGTTGAGCTCAGTTCGTCCTTGGTTCCACTTGCCTTTATTGACAAGAGTTCATTTTTCACCGTTGGGACACTTTTTTTGTGTTAGTATTTGTCCTACCGCCATATAAAGATGAGAAAGATCCTGGCAATCCGTCTACAGTCAGAGTCACAAACAAGGTTGGCTCGCCACCCAGCCACCTGGACTGGGAATCTATGAATCTCTGGAAGAACGTCTGGAACATGTGGATCGGTTTGACTCCGTGGAATGGATCTCAGCTGCACGATGTTTCCACCTCTTTACCAAAATCTGACCATTTTAGCGGAATTCACTGCCTTTAGCTCCGTGACAACAGTGGATTCAGGCACAGCTCTCTTTTACTCTCAAGTGGATAACACAGCCTCCTACGCTCAGGTGCAGGCGCCAAAAGAACGTGCAGAGATGCGAAACTAGAGGTGTAACTGTAACGGAGCATAGCTGGAAGCTGATTGGTCAGCTCACTGCATCCGACAGTTCACCCATTTGCTAACTCACAAGTCCATCAAAGATGATGAGAAAAATAAAAGTTAACCCTTACTGACTTGATCAGACAGCTAAATAGTGTTTCTCATTATTAAGCCTGCTGTGAATGAAACTCTGCCTATAACATTATTTTAAAAGAATATCATTGTGTATTGTTATGTCAAGAGTCAATGAATTTAGTTATGAGGCTGCAGCCTGGGGGCAGTGAGCAGCTGAAACAGGCTGTGTGATCGCATTTGTAATGGGAATTTCATGAGAACTATCTCCAAACACTGCCATGTAACTAATCTCACTCATTGGGGACCTCTGGTCTCTTCTGTCTGGGGGGTCATGACTTTAAGTGGTTCACCATGTATCTGAACATGATAGTCTTACGTTGAGTGTCCCCTAAGGAACAATCCAAGACATCATGTTCCGTTGATGAGATAGTGCTCCAAACCTGAGATTAGGATAAAAGCTGCATGTGCTGAGACACTGCAGCTCACTCGGATGATGCGTGTGTTTCCCAGTGAGTTCCTTCTGCAAAAGACTTGAATACAATTCACAGAAAGACAAGTGTTTGCCTGAGCTGTTTATTTGAACACCCTCATTCCCACCACACATTAATTAGAAAGATACAAGGGGATCTTCTTTGCGATGATCCTCCTGTACATCACATTTGCTCAATCTTTCCTCCATTACATGAAAGGTATTGGAAGACTTTCAGATGAAGGTAACTGCTTCCTCCCATATGGACCTGGAGAGAAATGATTGTATGCACATGATATATTTGTGATCTTGTGTTGATGAGCACTGATGATCTTCGGCCATCAGGGATCAGTTTAGCAACTTACCTTGAGCACTGTCACACTAATTTCAGTCCATACATACTGTATATCTGAGGCTTTCTTTCTTCTCTTTCAGATAAATAATATACCGGTAACTAATTTATTTACCTTGGTGAGATAGTTTTCTCCAGCCACAACCTGACTCCTGTATTTAACTGCTTTGAATTCCACATATGTCTTCCCTGTCCTATTCTCCATGTCGTCCTTCACCATGAATGAAATCAAATGTGATGTAAATGCCAACCAGAGAGTTGTTTGCTGAGGTCGTGAAGAATGAATGTATAGACTGAAACTCACCTGACAACAAATAGGCATAGCGTAGGCTACGGTGTCGCCTGACATGCACCTCCTCAAAAATGTAACTACACGTTGAGTCGACTCGGACCGTAAGCACTGTGATTGGTCGGCTGGGAAGCCTCGAAATGCCGCCGAGCCGACCAGAAGTATCCCGCGCTTTGAAGTAACGTTTACTAGAGGCCAAAACGGCAGCTGTAACACAGTGAATCAATATATTTGAGCGTCGCTACCCGAGCGAAATGACTCGTTTCGCTATCAGAATGTGATCCATTCGGTCGACAACATTTTAAAAGGCTACACCAGCCGCACGTATACAGTTTTATCCCCATTTATGTTAGCGGAGGGCTAAACCGGAAGTTAGCCTGCTCGGCCGGCAAAAGTCAACACGGTGGACGCTGCAGTGCTACAGCTGACTAATGTTTGGAGGTGTAATTGCAGAATGACGGACACACCTACGTACAAGTATAAATGCATGGCTACATGCGTGGCCTACGGCGTAGGTACGCACGTAGACCCTACGCAGAAGTATAAATGGGCCTTAAAACATGACATTTTTGGTGGAGCTACAGTATGTGGCCATTGTTGCTCATCCTTTGTGAATTACTCCCTAATTCCAGGTTACACCCTAAAACATCCCCAAAAAGTTCTAAGTGTAATTCAGATTCTGTCATCTGGGGCGTCTTTAAAGCAGCTATAATCAATACTTTTATATTAACAAATGACCAAATAACTACAAGTATGTGAAAGGTGCTTGCTTGTAGTGACATACACACAGATAATCATTGTACTCTGCAAGTCCCCTCAGCTCTATGGAGCCTTTTCTGCTATGTTGCTTAATGTCTTTAGGATGTGTAAATAGGCAACTGTTTGCTGACAGTGGGTAGAAATTCTGATTCAGAATACATACAAACAGAAGCAGATTACTTTTTTATTTAGAAATCCATTCTCTAACAGGAAGCCAGTGTAAAGACCTTAGAACTGGAGTAATGTGATCCCCTTTTTGGTCTTAGCGAGGACTCGAGCATCTGCATTCCGAATCAGCTACAACTGTCTGATGGATTTTTTTGCAAGCCCTGTAAAGACACCGTTACAGTAGTTGAGTCGACAGAAGATAAATGCATGGACATTTTTTCCATGTCCTGCTGAGACATAAGTCCTTTAATCCTTGATATATTCTTCAGGTCTGCATAAATTATGGTAACATATTTAACATATTTTGTTGTTTTCATAGTCTGAGCCAGCATTAGTTATATAGAAATATACATATATAAATACAACTAAACATGTAGATGTTAAACAGAAGAGGCCCCACAATAGAGCCTTGGGAAACTCCACAACTAATTTCTGTTAGCTCAGATGTATAATTACCGAGAGACACAAAGTAGTCCCTGTCCTTTAAGTAGGATTCAAACCAGTTTAGTACTGTGCCAGAAAGTCCCACCCAGTTTCAAGTCTGTCAAGTAATATATTGTGGTCAACCGTGTTGAATGCAGCACTGAGATCCAGTAATACTAAGACTGAAATTCTGCCTCTGTCAGTGTTTAAATGAATGTGAAAGAAACCTGAGAGAACAGACATTCTGACAGTTTGTAGGATATCTGAGGCCATGCAGTCTGAAACATTTTTGAAAAGAATATTAAGGCAACAGGAGGATTTCAATGTTGTATAATGTCCTCCAGGCTTTTATGGTTAATAGAATCAAATTGTGTCATGCTGTTTGAATTGATTTTAAGTGGACAGAGACACCAAATATCCTGTACCTGAGCCTATTTATGCAGCACTACTGATATTTCAGAACCATGGTCAGCACCATGGATTTTACCAATTTTTTGCTCAAATGTCAGCATCAGCATAAAAAAGTTAGGCAGATTAGACTAGCTGGGCAGACAACCAAGGATAGATTGCAAATGAATATAAACAGTTTGACATTCAGGTATGTTAGATGTCCATGCAGTCACAGCCATAGCATACACAATCGACAACAAACAACAATCATACATGCAATGTTGGGCCGGCTGTTACTACAATAACCAAGCAGCAACAAAGAACATCATCACATTCACAAATCATGAATGTGAAATAACTTACAAATAATCATTTTTATCCAGCAGCTGCTGTTTGCAAAATTTTAATGGAAATTGAACCATTGTAGCCTAGATGAAATGTCCAATGTCCAAAAATTTGAATGTATTCCCAAACAGTATACAGTAATGAGACATGATCTTGTAGCACCACCATCCTGCTCTCCTTTATCCTCCCAAGCCTTTCAGCCACCTTGTTCTTATCTATGAAAATATCCCTCTCTATAGATAGCAAGGTAAGGTTTGAGAGTCTGGCTTCCTGCATGCATGCCCAGAGATAGTTTTTAAGCAATTCTATTTGGAATTCAAATGTGCTTAACTTGTGAAGTCGGCCATCAGCTTCAGAGGCTGGTGATGTGAGGTTCTATTCTTTAATCCTCTGTGTAGCAGGTAGACTTCTCATCACCTCTTTGGTGGCCTGCTCACGGATGCCCACATGGTATCTGACAGATTTTTAACCTGTTTAATCCCAAATTTTTCCTAGCAATTTGAGTACATGCATTTTACTCCTTAGACTTCCCTAATACCCTTTTTGATTTTATGTTGGTTAAGTTAGTGAAATGTGACTGGTGGGGAAACAGCATAGTCAAAATTCACACAAGTTCTTCGATTAGACTAAGCAAGTTAAAGCAATAAAAAACAAACATTAAAAAATGAAATGAAAGCAGGCAGACATAAACTGTGCCTTAGAACAGTGGTTCTCAAAGTGGGGTGTGGGGACCCCCAGGGGTCCTTATGGTGGTTCCAGGGTTTTTTTTCACTATAATTACATCCATAAGTAACACTCCCTGGCGACAGGGAGCTTCCCGGCACGGCTTTCTGCTGTTCTTCCTTGGGGCAGGGTACAGCTTCCTCCGGGACATGCGGTCTGGGGTCCTTTGTGCTTTGGGGGGTCACGGGGTGCCCTGGCTTCTGGGGGTGGGGGTCTCTGGGCACTGCGCGTGTTGATCCGGTTGCAGTTTGGAGGGCGATTGTCGATGCATCTTGATGCATTGTGCTTTTTCCCTGGGCAGGGTCTCTGAATGGCTGCTGGGCGTTTAGTTTGTGCATTGGAGTCTGGGGGAGGCAATTCCTCTTTGGCTTGGAGGGACCAGATAGCGTCCCTGTTTTGCTTCGTTGGCCTCGGATCCATGCTTCCCCATTTCTCTGTCGGCCAGTTGTTGGACCCCTCTGGATACTGAGGTATATAGTTAGTTTTTGGCATGTGCAGTGTGGGTCAGGGGCAGGGATGTGCTCCGGTTTGTTCTGGGCTTGTGCCTGGAGTTCTCAGCCCTTGACGGGTGGGTGGGTTGGTGGTGGCATGCAGCTGAGCTGGTTGATTTTGCCTCGTTGCTGGTTTGGCTGGTGTTGCACGGCAGCCGGGGGGCGTGCTGGGCATGGGGTATGTCGGCTGGCGCTGGCAGCCTTAGTTTTTTCCGGCGCTTTGGGGGATGGCGGACTTTTATTGGCGGGTGCATGGTGACCTGCGCAGCGCGTTTGCTGCCGGGCTGGGACTTGCTGCTGGTGTTTCTCTCCACTGGCTTTCGCTGTCGTGTTATTCCGCTCGCTCTCTCTCGTTTGCCCGACCTCGCACGCGGGATTCGCAGGGGGCTGCTGGGCATTGGGTGTTGCCGTGCTCGTGCAGTGTGCGCGTTGGGCTCGTCACTTGTGCATTGGTGTTGATGATTGCATGGCATTTGGGCATTTTGGTTGTTCGCTGCGCAGTGGTGGGGTGCTGGGTGGGGTGGGGGGGGGCACTGGTCTATGTTGTGTGCGCGCCGGTCCGGTCGGTCCGGTCAGTCCGGGCGCTGCTCTTCCACGGGTTATGCTTCTTGCGTTCCGTCGGCATTACATTTTCAACTGGCATTTGGGTCGGGGTCTTCCGTGTTTGCATTGCGGTGCATCTGGGAGTCTTTGTTTTTTTCTTTTTTCTTTTTTTCTTTTCTTTCTCCCACTCCTATTGGCAACTGGGGTTCTTGTCTGCCTGTTGCTGGGGCACTCTCACTAACAACTACATTCTTTAACTTTATGCACACACACATGTACACACACACATACAGACACATTCACCCACACGCACACAGACACACACAGTCTCACACATAGACACAAACAAATTTAGTCCCTGGTAGAATTATTCCTGATGCTTTTCTTTCAGTTACTTATTTAAATTAATTGTTATTATTCCAGCTCTCGTGGCTGTGCTGTGTTGCTTATTTAGTGTGCTTGACTGTTTCTTATTTTCATTTTTCTCTTAGTTGTCTTACTATGTCAGCTGTTTATTGCTGCTGTTCGGCTGGTTGTCTTTTACTATTATTATTATAATTTTTATTGTTTGGGTTTTTTTGGTGTTTGTTGTTGTTTTTCTCCTCCCCAAGCCCCCCTCTCTGTTCTATTGCAGGTTTCGTTGCTTTCTGCAATTGGTGTTTCCCTCCGCTATTCCCTGTTGTCCCCACCTTTCATCCCCCTTCTCTTGCAGGTCTTGTCTTTTCTCTGTGCTGCCTGTTTGTGCCCCCCTATCCCCGTGTCTGCCCCCCTGTCCGGGCCGGTGACAAATCAATACATTATTAAATCAATAATAAAACAGACAAAGGAGTATATTAATACTCTCTTGTTAAAGTAAAATCTGTCTGGCACAATATGGTATCCAGGTCATCATACTCTATACCAGGCTGCTGGGCAGGACAGGTTTAAAAAAATAAATAAATAAATAAAAATCCAGTTCAAGTAAAGACCATAAACTCTTATAACATCTGAGGTGATGGAACAGCTGCATTAAGAGTCAAAATCAATAAAAATGTGTCACAGAGGCACAGAACATAAATGTAATTCCTGTTTTGAACAGTTAAGGAAGCC